TTTGGAACAGTTTCAGAAGAATAGGTATTAATTCTTCTTTAAATGTTTGGTAGAATTCCCCTGGGAAGCCATCTGGCCCTGGGCTCTTGTTTTTTGGGAGATTTTTGATTACTGCTTCAATTTTGGGCCTGTTCAGGTTTTCTATTTGTTCCTGGTTCAGTTTTGGTAGATTATGGGTCTCTAGGAATGCATCCATCTCTTCCAGATTATCTAATTTGCTGGCATATAGTTGCTCATAATGTGTTCTTATAATTGGCACACTTTCATATTGATTTAGGTTGTATTCCTGATTGGCTAGCTTAATTTTAGGTGTTTGCTTAAACATCTGTGATATAGTTAAAATCCTATTTTTAATTTCTACCTGAAATGGGAAAACTGATTTGTGTAAACTTTATGGTTTAGTGTTGATGGCTAGTCCCAAGGACCACACATACCCTTTTAATTAAGTACTGAATGTAGAGCTACCTTCTTGTTGTTATAATTGTGTTCATTTCCATGAGTCTGGTCATACCGAGAATATTCTAGTCAGGACAGTCTCTTAAGTAAAATAACTATAACAGTGTTAGATTTATTAGAAGTGGTTAAGTAATAATATATGTAACTAATAAAACTTATATAACCCAATAGATGCTAGCCTATTAGATAATTGGTAAACCTTTTAAATTGTAGAAGATGAGCATATTATATACATGGTAGTAGAAAAGCCTCTGTTCTGTTGGTTTTGTTTTAGGCACGGACACTTGCTGGTATGTTGAGAGAAGTTGAGAGAAAAAATGAAGAGCTTGGTGTGTTGCTGAAGGCACAACAGGTTGAATCAGAAAGAGCCCAGAGTGATATCGAGCATCTCTTCCAACATAATAGGAAATTAGAGTCTGTGGCTGAAGAACATGAAATACTGACAAAATCCTACATGGAACTTGTTCAGAGGTAAATTAATAAAGTAAAAGTTTCTGTGTAAAGTTGGAATCTAGAATGAACACACAGCATGTCTTTTCTGTGGCTCTAAAATCCTTTTGTAAACATTCACATATTCTGATAATTCCATAAGTTAAGTAGTTGACAAGAAACTTACATCACAGGTAAATGAAGTACTGCTTACTCAAACTCAGGATCAAAGTCGGAAACAGAATACAGGTCTCTTTGTTTCTTTCCAGTTGACTCTGCTTCTTGCCTATATTCATGCAGTCCTCAGTCACCTGGGGTGTTAGCACCACAAGAACAAGTTGAGTTTGCTTTGTTCATTGACAAACCTCTAGGGCCTGCAACAGTACTCAGTACACAGTTATGCATTCCATAAATGTTGAATGACCTTAGTTGTCATAAATCGTGTTAAGTTGAGCTGTATGAATTGGCCATTTCTGTACATCAAATGCGTTGAATATGAACAATTTCATAGTATTCAGTCTAATAGCATGGAAATTCAGGTGTTAGTGTTTAAAATATCTCAAGTTTGTAGTCAGTACTTCTTAATGTCATTGAATATAGTTTATTTATATGTGTGACTAATTGTGGAATAAATTCTTATAGATGAATTGTTGGATTAAAGGGTATGTGCTTTCAAATTTTTGATGGATTGGCACGTTTTCTTCCAAAAAGGCTACACTAACTTACATGCCTACTAACAAAATAGGAGATTAATCATGTTTTCCTCCTTTGTCAAATTTGTTTTATCTTTTAGGTCAACTTTAAAACTTCTGAGCTATAAAGAAGACCTGGAACAATTATGTATTTTCTACCAAACAATAAAAATAAAACATTCTGGTTAACTTGTTCTTCGTTTCAATCTCTAATTTAAGATTGGTTCAGATTTGAAAAACTATTCTATCTGTGCTATTAATATAGAGATCTAGAAAATTTTAATTCTGCAAGGTCCATGTGCTTATTTTCCCATCAATAAAAATGAAGGGTGGAAAATGTATAGCATCTAGAAAATTTGTGACGTTACAGTTTCCTAAACAGGATACTTTCTCCCAACAACAACTTTCTTCAAAGTCTGTTTGAGGCAACCCTGATAGAGTGGACTATGGGTGTTAAGTCAGGATGCGAGAAAAAGTAAGCATTGGTCCCACGGAAATACGTCGTTTCCAGGAACCACGAGAACATCCCGCTTATGTTCCAGATAGTGAGTGAGGGGCCAAGACGTAAAACTCCTGCCTGCCAGGGCCAAAAATAACAAATAATGAAGTTGACTGGGGAAAGAAGGGTCATCTATAAAGGTAGGGACTATCTAAAGCCATTCAAATTCAGAATTTTAAAAATCGTGTGTGACAGATAAAACACTTCTAGGCAAATTTGGACAGTACTACCAGTTTGTACTTAGTGAAGTAAAAAGGACATTTTATGCTTAAGATACTTGGGTGTCAAAGTATCACTTTAGAAAGTATTTCTGGGACGCCTGGGTGGCTCAGTCGGTTAAGCAGCTGCCTTCAGCCTGGGTCATGATCCCAGGGTCCTGGGATCAAGTCCCACATCAGGCTCCTTGCTTAGCAGGAAGCCTGCTTCTCCCTCTCTCTCCTTCTTCTTGTGCTCTCTCTGTCAGATAAATAAAATCTTTAAAAAAAAAAAAAGAAAGTATTTCTGTGTTTACTTTGCCAGTAAACTAAGCAGGACTGTTAGATGCAGAGCTCTAAAGAGGCAAGAGAAGTTTAGTATCCTCAACTACTTCATTAATTTGACATTTTTAATTAAACATACATTATGCCCAAGAGGCTAATGATGGCAGATGTTTTATTTTTTAATAAACTTCATCCTTTTACAGAAGTTTTTTAAAATTTTCTAGATCTAACTATGAAAATAACATATATATAGCAAATTATGTAGAGCAATGTTATCTGTAAAGCTCTATATCCATAAATATGAGTTAAATGCCCTGCACTTTTCCTTTTTATAGTAAATATTACCTCCTAAGTCAGCCAAAATACATCTTTAATGTCTTTTAGAGTTAGTCTAATTTTCTTTATGTCCTGATTGTTCATGACATTCCTCTTCCGTTTCTTTTCTCCATCTCCATCATATGTTTGCCTTGATAAAAATATCAACTCATCTTGTCTTTTCAGGAATGAAACCACTGAACAGAAGAATAAAGATTTGCAGATGACATGTGATTCTCTGAATAAACAAATTGAGACAGTGAAAAAGTTGAATGAGTCATTCAAGCAACAAAATGAAAAGTAAAATACCTAGTTCTTAATTCTAATTATTTTGGATTTTTCAAAAACAGTGATTCTCTTTATACAGAACATTGTTTTTTACAGATAAAATTAATAGAATTGCCACTTATTTTAGTTGTAAAATACATATTTGGCAAAATGTAAAGGTAATTCTGTTCTTACTAATTTTCTCTTAAAATACTTGGGGAGAAAAAGAAATGAAATATTTCCTTGATGTTTTCTTCTATATTTTTTTATAACTTCAGAACTATAGCCCAATTAATAGAGAAAGAAGAACAGAGAAAAGAAGTACAGAACCAACTAGTAGATAGAGAATGTAAGCTAGCAAGTAAGTAGCTTCTTATTTAATATATTGTCTATATTTTAACATATGTTGGTAGAAAAATCAAAGCATGATTTTATTTTCTACTTCTCTCATTTTTTTGAACCTTAAATCGCATTTTAAACAGCTTCCCTTTTCTTGCCATAACATTTTACGGAGCAGTTTAGTTAGATTGATTAAATTGAAAAAGCAATATATTTTTTTTGAAATCTGGGAATTAGAGAAAATGATTGTCTTTTCAAAAGAAAGAGTTTTAAAAGAACTTTAACAGCAGGTGGCAGTGCTAGGTAACTTTTAGTTACCAGCTTCTTAATGGCAGTAGCTCTTAAATGACCCACAAAAACATTTTTGTTCTAACTCACTTGCCTTAGAACACAGACATCTGCCTATATAATTTTTCATACTTTTCTATATCTTTCTAACCCTTAAGCCCTGAGGATTGTCCTTCCCCTCATAACTATACATATAATATCAGGAACAGAGGAAGAGGGAAAGCCATGGAGATTTGGCATTTTCTATGGAATACTGGCCTAGGGGAAGAGTTTCATGGTGTTTTTTTACTCATCAAATACTGTAGAACTTTTACAGTTGTTCTTTTGCTCTAATTACATAGTGGCTAATAAACCTTTTCAGGGTAACATCAGTATCCAACCTCTGAGCATATAGCTGACTGTTTGTTTGTTTTAAGATTTGCAACAAAAAACAAAAGTACAAGAAGAAAAGATTAAAATCTTGCAAAAAGAAAGGGAAGATAAGGAAGAAACCATTGATATCCTTAGAAAGGAATTAAACAGAACAGAACACATAAGAAAAGAATTGAGCATTAAGGTAAGAATCTGTTGAGTTCTCGCTGGTAGTAGATGAGTAAGTCTGATTTTGTGGAAAAGGTGAATTTGGGTAAATTAAAGTTCAGGTTCTTTGTAATATCTTCTAAATAAAATTACTAATTTGAAAATTGACAGTTGTTTTTTTTAATAAGGTTCTCTCACAATGTGAAAACCTGTATTTCCTAAAGCCATGAAAAACTTATTAAATATATATTGTGTACCAGCACTTACTGCTTTTAAGTGGGCCAAGAATATAGAAAAGTGTTCTGAATGTCACATACAGGTGGCTGTATTTGGCTGCCTCTCCCAGCTTTTAGGGATGGGAATAATAATAGTAGTTCATATTTGTTTAGAACTTTATAATTTGCAAAGGACTCTGAAACATTTTTCTCAATCCTCTTCTCTTTAACAAATGTATTAATATATAAGTATCAAATATTTTCAACCTGCAAATGAAACTGAGTCTTGAGTTACTTACTGAGGGTCTGTCACAAAGCTAAGTATTCAGTATTCTGAATCGAAGTCCACTGCTCATTCCACATTATCATGGTTGTGTGTGTGTGGTAGCTATGAAGAGCACTTTCTGGCCCATCTGCTACCAGAAGATGAGGACACACCAGGATTAAATGACCGTTTGAACAACTACAGAGCACAAGTGACAGAGGAGGCATAAAATTTAATGCCACATTTACCAATTTCCTGGTTCTGCTTTAATGTGGTCATCCTAACAGTGATTCTGAATTGTGCTGTGTAGTGTTTTCTGCAAATTTCCAGCTGCTAATATTGACTTAAAAAGACAAATTGAATGTATCTTTCCAATTTGTATTATGTTGTTTAATAATTACTTATTTTAAGCTTACCATAAAACTTAATTAACTAAGATACAATACATATTTGTAACGTGTCTTTTGACATGGTTGTTTTACAAATGAAAAATAAGACATTTTAAAATATCTGTGAAGGGAAGACTTGCTAAATTTGTTTTCCTCAATTCCTCCCCCAACCCCCATTCCTAGGCTTCCTCCCTAGAGGTTCAAAAGGCCCAATTAGAAGGTCGTTTGGAAGAGAAAGAGTCGCTGGTGAAACTTCAGCAAGAGGAGTTGAACAAAAACTCTCATATGATAGCAATGATCCACAGTTTAAGTGGTGGAAAAATAAGTCCAGAAACTGTGAACCTCAGTATATAGATGTTATGTATTTATGTTCCGGGGGAGGTGTGGTAGGGAAGGTAATTTGTGACTCCAGAACAATAGCAAATTATTATCTAATTATTAATTTAGTAAAGAACCTGATCTGATAAATATTTTTATTTGGTCTTAAAAGTTTTACTTCCTGTTTCTGGCTTTTATTGCTTAAAGCTTTCTTTGGTTCTTAATTAGAATGTTCTTCCTGACCTCCATTATTGTTTTTCTAAGGTTTTTCCCTTTTCCTTAGTTGCTTTCCACTCTCTTCTGGTTTTTTTATTCTCATTTGTGATTAGATTTTAAAATCAAACTTTCCTGATATAACAATCCTAAAGATTAAGAAATTGAAAATACAGTTATTTAGTATAAAAAGAGAAGGCGTAGCATTGCCCGAGAAGTTTTTCTCTAAATAGCACAAAAGAAAATTCAGTGAATTTAAAATAATTTTATTACTGCATTTAAAATGCAGTAAGATATATGGTATAAGTTTTAAATTTGAAAAAAAATGCAATGAATAGTTACAGAAATAATGTGAAAAAATTAGAAATTATCAGATGTGTTAAACAAATACATTGTCACATTTAAAAAAACGATAATTTGTAGACTTGTTTGAGATAGCCTTAGTTTTTGACTCTTTTTAAATGTACCATGTTGGTCTGCCCATATGATTTCCAATCAATTATGAATTTCTTTTGATTTGCACAAGGACAACTTGGATTCCAGCCTTGCTACATATTCAGACATTTATTATTTATTAATTCAAATGTGAATTGCATTTAATATATTGCCTTTTGTTTAAATAGTTTTTGATTTGGCCGTTTAATTTTTAAGGCATAGGTTAAATATCCTTATGTATTTCTTTAATACAAAGGAATTTTTCAGTACTCTTCATTTGAATCAAATGTTGTAAGTAGTGTTTAAGAAGAATTTTTGTATCAGTATTTTAGTTGGTTTTATTGCTACAGTTTCCAACCATTAATTTTGCTTGGTGTTTTCTTCCCTATTTATATTTTCGTGTGACTTAAGTGAACTTAGATTTACTTCTGTTTTTCAACTATAGTATATCTGAATTTATGTTTAGAAACTAGACATATTTTCATAATTTGCTAATTATGTTAAATATCAAACTCACGGTTTTACATACTTGAATACATTTTGCATAGTTCTGCAAATTTTTTTAAAAAGCATTGTACAGAGTAACACATTTTAGACTGCTACTTGTTCTATAAGGGGTACATTCTGTTTCTTTTTTGAAATTGCAATCATTTTCAGTTTTATATGAAAAAATGTTTAAATGGATAGATATGACTGAAGAACAAAAGGCTCTGTAAAATGAAACAAAAAGTTCTGTAAAATAAATAAAGGAACCAAAACCTCTAGGGAAGATCAAACTATCTTTACAATGTAGACACTTTCAAGAAGATACGAGCCTAGCCCACTGCTGCCCAATAGAATTTTTTGTAATGTTGGAAATGTTCTCTACACTGTTCAGTATTACAGCCTTTAGCCACATGTGATTTTTGAGCACTTAAAATATGGTTAGTGCAACTGAAGAATTTAGATTTTAACTGCCATCCTGCTGGACAGCGCAGATCTAGTCCATTCTTGCAAGTATGCATTTATTTTAAGACACTCAATTTGCCTATTCTTAAAGATCTATATAGGCAGAGACTCCATATATTTTTTTAGCAACCTTTTTTTAATACAATTTTAATGTCATTCCTGATCTCTCTAAAGAGAAAAAAGTACTTTAGCTTTAGAGGTGAGTACTAATCATCATCCTCTTCATTTTTTGTTTATCCTAGTCTTTCTATCTCTTATAGCATCTTTCATATTGTCCCTATTATTTTTCTTAATCTTAGTATGTTGAGTCCTTTTTTTTTTTGCGTTTTAGGTTTGTGTACCTCAGATTAATATAACAGTGTGTGTGTGTGTGTGTTTTCTTTTTAAAAAATCTTTTAGCCACCACTATAGAGTTTTACAAATGATTTCTGTGTGTGTATGACCATTTCCTATTGGAGAAAGTAGAACTAAGTAAATGTATCATTATATTAGAATTGTTCAGGTTCTCTAAAATCTTGCTATGAAGAGTTTGTCCAAGTGTACATTAGCACAGTTCCTTTTGCCATTTACATTTGCCCCTTGACTAGATATGGACTTCTCTTAAAATTGGGCTGATTGAAGTTTATACTAAACTGTCTAATGTCAGGGCAAAAACAAATACTCATTAAAACTTAATGCTGTGTTTTGGGGGGAATTTGTCAGATTAGTATACTTTTAGTTTTATTTATTTGTTATAAAGTCTAGTTATTTATGTTAAGGATATAATGAGACTCTGTCTTGAGTTAGGACTCTTAGTTAAATGAGAATGTTGACTTTCAACTTCTACCTGAGACTCATTCACATATGTTAAGGTACTTCTAATCAAGTTACATTCCCTAAACTCATAACCTTTAACCTGATTCTTTTCCTCTTTTCAAATAGTTACGAATTGTGTTTACAGCCTGCTTCTGATACACCTACTGATGAACCAAACACATGCCCTGTTTGTGACTTACTCACTTTATAGGAGTCAGCAAACATTTTCTGTAAAGGGCCAGATAGTAAATATTTCAGGCTTTGTGAGTCATACTGTCTCTCTCTTATAACTACTTAGTTCTGCAACAGTAGCAAGAAAACAGCTATAGACAGCACATAAATAGGCATGGCTGTGTATTCTAATAAAACTTTATTTACAGGGGCACCTGGGTGGCTCAGTCGTTATGCGTCTGCCTTCGGCTCAGGTCATGGTCCCAGGGTCCTGGGGTCGAGCCCCGCATCGGGCTCCCTGCTCAGCGGGGAGTCTGCTTCTCCTTCTTCCCCTCCCCCTGCTTGTGTTCCCTCTCTCGCTGTGTCTCTCTCTGTCAAATAAATAAATAAAGTCTTTAAAAAAAAAAAAAACTTATTTACAAAAACAGTCAAGGCTTTGCTAAGGTGTTATATCTTACTGACTAATTGGCCCTTATATCATTAAGAAATGTGTCTCTTTATCTCTGGTAAACTCTGTCTTGGGGTCTGAGGTCTATTTTATTTGATATGAATATAACCACTCCAGCCTTTTTATGTTTTCTGTTGGCCTAGTATATATTTTTCTATCCATTTACTTTTAACCTCTGTTGTTATATATAAAACTTAAGATTGTAGACAACATATAGTTCGGTCTTGCTTTCATTTTAATCTATCTTGGCAATCAAGTCCTTAACTTTCACAGTCCACTTGAAGTTAATATTGTACTACTTAGTATAAAATGTAGAAACCCTGTAACTGTGTTGGTCCTTTTATGTTCTCCTCATCCTTTATGCTATACCTGACACATAAATATCTGTATATATTATTAAACCCCAAAACAATGTTATAATTTTTACTCTAAGTGATTATATGGAAATACCCTGGCTCTCAACATCATAATATATTTATCTATTTACACACAACAATACACACAAGTAGTATCTTCATTATAACACTATTTTTCTCTTTTGATATAATAAGTAATTTGTAGGGAGATACTGCTAATACCCTGTTTCTTCCACCTTTCACCCGCTAGTTTCAGCATCCATTGATAATTCTTGCTTGAATCAGTTATTACTCTGATGGTTGCCACTTTTTTTTTAACTTTTAATGGAAGAAAATGGAACATTTTGCTAATACCTTGATATGCTGAGAATAGTGATCAAAATTACATCATGTATTACATCATTGACAAAACTAAATATAGTATTTATAGTTTTACAGCTAATAGAGTATGTACTTTTTTGTGTGCATATTCTCACAAGCCAAGAATTTGAGATTTGCTTTCTATAGTTTAAGAAAATAAATAATGGGTATGTTAAGCATATGGAATATTTTTTCAACCACAGGGCACTTTGGATCTTATTTTCCTTCCAAAATCCCCAATCTGAGAATTGCTCACTTGCCTTGGCTCTCAATGATCACCAGTAAATATTAAACACATATTACTCATAATGATAAATAAGTCTTTTGGATTAAGAAACAAATTGTATATTTTCCACATTCACTGAGTTTACAGTCAAGATAATTTTTAAAAAATGAACAAATAAAAATATAACCTATGCCTTTAAAAGGTAGATGGTTTATTTTTATAATATGGATAATGAACGTGATAAGTACTTGAAATTATATGCTTCTGTAATCCATACACTGAGATGAAACAAAAATTTAAAAAATCATGGGTTTCTTTGAAATCTTAGTCTTTACTCTGTAGCATTTTGTAGCTAATTGACTTTCTTCCTTTCATGCAAAGACTGAGGCTTGTTTTGTTTATGCTTATGTTTATCTAAACACTTCAAAAATACCCTAAGAAAACTTAATTATCACCATGAATGAGAGGTACCATAATTATCAGAAACCAGCTTTTCTTCACATTGAACTAAATAGTCCATCATAAACGTCATTAGATGTGAGAAGTAACTTTCCTCCCAATTAAATGCATAGTTTTAGTTATCTTAATTCCCCAAGGACCTAGTGTTTATATGCTCTTGGTATCTTAAAAAAAGATAATCTTAGGATATACAGCAAAGGGCTTTTTATGCAAGGTCTAGCCAGTGCTGCATAAGAAAGTGACATTTTCGAAGTCAATAGAGTAGGTTGGGTTACAGTTTCATTATGTTATTAAAAACTAATTTTCCACTAAGTAGCTGGGCATTTGGCAGGGATTTAGTAGTGAATATGATTCTCCCTCTCCATTACATTATCTACACTATTCCAAGAATTATATTTCATCTCACTAATCTCAAAGAGCCAAAAGATACAATGTATTAGAGTAGCCTTATGCTTTTCCCAAACTTCAAATAAAAAGGCTTATGATTAGCCCTAGGAAAAGACAACACTGTTCATGTTCAATTAGGCAGGGTTTTCATTTACCCACAAATAAAGACTGGTATTAACTACTACACACTAATTTTTATAAAACCCGCAGTTAATCAGAGCATGGTAGAGCTGAAAGGATTCCTAAAGAACAGTAAGCCCAGGCCCCTTGTGTTTCAAAAAGATTTAAACTTTATATTACATTTTCAGAAAAGTCTGGTGATTCAAACATACTGATCAAACTACATGATTAAATAAACATGGATTATGGGCAGTTTTGCTTCTAGGAATTTATCTTAAGGATGTGCACTAAGATTTAGGATGTGCATTACAACGTTATTTTTGCACAAAATTGGAAACAACCCATGTATATGGTGTAAAATGCATTCATTAAAATAACAACCTTTTTAAAAAATATATTGAAATATATGGGCACATGGAAAGAGATTCCTGGTGTGTTATGTGGAAAAAGCATGAAACCAAACTATTTGTAAGCAGTGATTCACATACCTGAGTCTCTTTAAGATATATAGGTGTGTATAAATATGCAATACATAAATATAAATGGTAAACAATGGTTGCC